GTGAAAACGTTCATCACGATGCAATAAGTGTCATTGGTGAAATGACATCTACGTATCGTACGAACGGAGGGTCATGCATTTTTGCATTGAAAGACGTCCTTAATTATGTAAGTGAAATTTGTCAAGCCGGCCCGTCAATTGGAAAAAGAAGTCATCTGTCGATTCAATGAAAAGACCGTTACGCATATATGCAAATAAGTTTGTTTCAAACGGCTGTGCACATGTGTCTCTTTGTGTTCTCTTCTCAACGAGACGAGAAACTGCGCGCATGCGCGCGTTTTACATTTCTCCTCTTAAAGGTATCGATCCTTAATCTTCGATAATTAATCTCTACTTATAATTTGGATTATTCATGATTACGTTCTGCAATATAAATAATATAAATGCAATATAAATAAAAAAAAATATTTTATTTGTAAAGTAATTTTTCCCCTCATATTCTGAGCGAAGCCTTTTACCGAGAAGGAATTCCTCCTTCGATAAAGTGACTAAAGTGAACCATTTATCTAAAATTTATTAAATACCATTCTAACTGTTTTGCTCTTATTTCAAGAGAATTTCCTCTTATATCAATTAATTTTCCTCTTATACGAAGAGAAATATGTTAATTTGAACGTCGACTTCTTTTGTTCAGTCATGCTCTATCTCCAGACATGAATCATATGCTTATAAGTCAAAATATTTGGAACGTTTTTTAAAAAAGGTGTTTTAAAAAAGGTTGTGTGTTGCCCTAACATATATATATATATATATATACATAGTTATAATGTGTTGCGATAACGAAGCGATAATTTATCCATTTGATCAAATACAGTTTATAATCAATTGCAAGAAGTTGAATAACATATTCTTTCTTTTAACTATGTTTCATATAATTGGTTATGATAAACGTTGCAGTTTGTTATGAAGCCTACAACAAAACTTACTGGAAATTTATTTGTTATGATGATGTTATTTCATTCGTGCCTACTTATTGTGGAACTGGAACCAAAAGTACATCTATATATATATATATATATATATTACTTTTCGCTATAATTTTTTCAAATTAACTAGTGTAACCAGTAAGAATAAAGTACAGTAAGAATAAATAATAATCCTCTCGAAGAAAGATCAAATAATTTGTGCATAAGAGGAAATTTATATTAAAATCAATAAGATTTACATTATATACATATAACATATAATCCCTCCAACTTTAAGAATAAATGTGTTTATAATATTTTCCTCTCAAACTCAGAGGAATCCTCTTGAGACCATATATAAGAATAAAAAAATCCTCTAAAAATTTAGACGCTTGTTCTAAGATTACTTTTTTCTGGGTGATGTGTCGTTGAAAGATCGGCAATTTTCATCATTGTTGTTGACGCGCAATTTACTCGATATTCGTCGGCCTAAATATGCACTAAATATTAATTTACCAGAGCCACTTCTGCCTGTAAATCGAGCCAGCTGTGGTGCATGCCGATTGCCCGATACGCGGACGATTTAGCAGGAGATCAGGTGTGACAAGCCAACTGGGGCTGATAAATCGCGCAGATCGGCACTTACCAGATTTTCCGATATTGTTGCCATTCGCCCATGGGTATTAACCCTTAATATATGAAGTGCACGTTGGGATGCTAGAATACCCAATGCGGCGCAGGAGGAGTCTATGTATCTTGTTACGTACTACTCCTGCACCGAGCACATTACACGGCTCTTTATCATGTAGCCATTGCGAGCTATTATTACATCACTTTACTTATCGTCAATTCTCACGCGTCTCTGTTGTGAATGCAAATTGGAAATAGAGCGGAGCGGGTAACGATCGGAGGGTAACGGTCAAATCGACCAAAGCCATTTCGAATTTCTTCCTTCAACGAAGATACTCGATAATTTCTCCAGTCGCGAGTGCGCGTGTGCGAAGGAGAACACATATTCCTTGTACCACACGAGAGAGAGAGAGAGAGAGAGAGAGAGAGAGAGAGAGAGAGAGAGAGAGAGAAAGAGAGCTGTAACTCGCGAGATATTTATCAGTATGGGTCGTGCCGGAAGTACTATCTTGGAGTTTTGAGGTTTTCCTCCTACCGACATTCCTCATCAATGATGCCTGTCGGTGTGTATCACGAGGAAAGTACACTTTTACTTCTACGGTAGTACGTGACGTGGCTCGGGAGGTGATAAAAGAAGAAGCTTACCACAAAAGCATCCGTATTTTAGAAATGTTACGCGCGCGCGCGTGCTAGACAAATGTCTGGTTCGTTGATTTCTCTCAGCGCGTGTCACCGCGCTGACCTCAAGCGAAAGAAAGAAGAAAGTTCTGCCTGGCGATACAAGATGCTGCCGCACCTGCGCGCATTCCACTCGACGTGACCCTAAAACTTTAATGTCCGCCGTGCGTTCACCTTGACCGTGGATCCTGCCGCAACTGATAGCTTCCCTTTCATGGTTAACTGCACGATATGAAAATGTAGAGTGGATTCTCAGATTAGCGCTAAGCGTTATCTACAACGAGGTGGAGTTTGCAACCTCTTTCTCTTTTTGTTTTTCCTTTCGCTTCCATCTTTTAATTTGCAACGCTAATTAGCGTGAAATTCGGAGAACGTCCGTACGTAATTTTTGCTACAACTTTAAATCCATCGCATAATTTTGCGAATATACCGCGCTTCTTTAATGAAACGTTCTCGAGCTGATATCGAGGGAACGGCTGCTGTATGAAACCGTAACTTTCATAATATAAGTTCGATAGTTTAATCGGATTAGAAAATTTATCGCGAGCATGCATATTATTTATGACATAAATGTCAGACGACGCACGTCCGCCTACGTAAGAGATGAAATTAAACACACAAAGCTAACAGATCCAATTTCTCCCGACATCGCGTTGCCGTAAGTTATGGTTTCCCGGAGAATCGAACGAACGTATCGTCGCGCACGGAACGTCCGTGCTGATTCAGCTACAACAGGTAGTGAATCCATGCTGGCTAGGATATCTCGCGAAATAATCATCCTCGATCGAACAATTGGGAAGCGAAGATATGAAATTTTATATGGCGCCCGCGGCACGTATAGATTGGATCTATAAATCCCCACCGGCGCGTAACCGGGACGTGATCTATGGTAGACTTCGCGCCGCGTAATTAGTATCGTAAATTTAATAATATAGCCGAATCCTCTCTCGAAATGTATCGCATTAAAGTGGATGCAACGTAGCGAGTGAAGAGGGTGTCGATGAACACGTCGCGATACACGCGCCGTTACGATCGTAGTAATCGGGTAATACAGTAATAAACACGTTCGAATGACGTACGAAAATTACGGGCACGCGCATTCGTGCGATGACGATGACAATTGGCGGTCGTTTGGACGCGTGGCGCGTTTGGAAAGCGCGCGGAGATCGCTGAATAAAGCAGAGTGGGAAAAAAATTTCGACGAACGGTGTCGTTGGACAATTAATTCTAGCGCGCACCGCAACTAGCAGCCTTCACCACTCTCTCGTGCGCGCCGCGCGGACTTTCGGAACGAAACAATTTTGTTTGCGGCTCTCTCTCTCTCTCTCTCTCTCTCTCTCTCTCTCGTTATTTCGAGGTTTTTGCGGCGGTAACAGCATCAGCGTTAGGTAGTACTGTCGACGGACAAGCAAAGCCAGACCATGAGGGCCGGCACTTTTCCCCCTGAATTATTGATGACAACGTAATGGATCTCAATGGGGACGGACGTGTGTGTGTGTGTGTGTGTGTGTGTACGTGTACGTGTACGTGTATGCGTCGCTGCATCCGGTATGCGCACGTACGGAAACTGCCGCTTCCCGTCTTTTTGCCGCGCGTCAGAGAAAACTCCGGGACGTGATTAAAAGTTCAAAGATCTCCGGATGGCGTTCGACGGTACGAGACACGGCGCGAGGGAATACGGCCGAGGGTATCGCATCGATTTTATCGGCCCGCCGTCGCGAGTCTTGAGAAATCAATAGAAATAAATTAGCGGTTGTAATGTATGCGCCGCGGCGCATCCTGCCGCACTTCTACGTGCGGCGAGACCGCGCTGAGATATCGTTTACGTCTTATATTTCTGCCTGTTCCTGCTGCATCGCGATAATTAATCGGTACGGCCGAAGATTGCGCCAATCCACAATTTTCTGCCCCTTCCCTCCCGCCCTCCCTCCTTCTCACTCTCTCTCTCTCTCTCTCTCTCTCTCTGTCTCACTGCAACGCGGATTATTGCTTCCCGCGTTACGTAAGATTTCTCATGCGTACGCGCGACGCAATACTGCCGGCGCGCATCCTCCGCGGCTGAATGATGCATCATTGATTCTTGGCCAATCCTTGAGACAGGCGCCGGCGGACACTTGGGACGCGCATAAAGATCATAATGAATCCGAGATACTCCGCGCGCCAAGACCCCCAGCCGTTTTTGGCCAAGCGGGTCCTGTCGAAGTGTCGAAGTCGCGAGTGTCCCGTACGCTTGAGAAATACGTGACGAGTTTTCGCCGTAAGTTTCGCCGTCGAGTTCTCTTCTCAACACAAATCACGATCACGTGCGATCACTTCTTCGATCCTTGCTCTCGCGGTGCGATCGAGACGCTACCCATCTGCAAAGTACACACAGTCAATGATTCGACATCGGTCCTCGTCGCCTGATGTATTCGGAGGCTGATCGATCCGGCCGAGCACGCCTCCTGCGTGCACCGCGGAAGGATTTACAACCGGTTTCACGCGACGGACGCGCCGTAGTCATCGGGGACCGGGGAGTCCGCGCGCGACGGCGCATCTTCGAGCTCTTCTTCGGCGAGACAGAGGCAGGGCTAGCCTACTTTCTCCACAAAGAGAATTTTTACACGACGTGTGAGGAAGGCTCCCTCTTCTCTCGCGCTCTCGTCCTCTCCTTGCGCGCCTCTGTCGCCTTTCTCTCTCTCTCTCTCTCTCTCTCTTTCTGCGCGCACTGTGCGCGCCTTCTCTCTCTCTCTCTCTCTCTCTCTCTCTCTCTCTCTCTCTCTCTCTCTCTCTCTCTCTCTCCTGTCACCGGTACCCTTAGACACGCGCGCTCACTCTCTCCTTTTCCCGGGTCTCCTTTCCACGATTCACCCGGCACCTCAGTCGACGACTTCTCCGGCTGGTAGCCCTCCTCGGAGTCTATATAAGCGGAGGCTTCATACGAGACTGAACATTTTTTGTGTTAGTACCGGCGAGTCGCGGTGCTCAGCCGTCAAAGAGGCTGCGGGCTGACGAGTGGCAGTATGATGTGCGCGACGTGTGGCACGACAAGCCACCGTTAAATCGCATACGACGAGCTCGGGGTAGACGCGACTTCCTTTAAAGTGCGGTGACGAAAGGTAGACGGGGGCGAGGTCGAGAGCGGACGAGACTCACCGAGTGTCGGATAATTTGTGTGTAGTGCCAAGACTTACGGTTTATGCGCGCGTGTGTCATGGTTAAATTCAAGGTAGGTTGTCAGCGAGTCGCGCGATTGCCGCGTGCGTCTGCTTTCTGCCGTGGGATGAGGTTTCAGTTCTGTTCAATTCGAGCGTGTCGTTATCGAATATCGTTGATGTGTGCAAGCACTCGCGATTTTTGATGCCCGCGAGCGAAGGGAACGCTTCGCGTTTGTTCTGACTTGAGACGCTTCTCCAGGTACAACGGCCAGGTATCGCTGCGGACCTGCGGTCCGGCAGCGAAAGAACGAAACACCATGGTGCGCGCGCACAAGTAATCCCCGCGACTGAAATAACGTTACACCCTCGATGTGAATAAATTTCCGTACTAATAAGGGGCGCATGCATTATGAAAGGAGTGCACGATAGGGGTCTTGGGCGTATGCATTATCGATAATTGCACCGCGACGATTCCCAAGCAGAGATTAAGTAATTGCCGGTTTCTTATCACGCCGGCTCTGATAACGGCGACTAATCCGGGTACTGTGCCTGACGAATCGATCCTCCTGATACGAGCGAGTTCGCCGAACGAATTCTTTTCACGACATCTGAACGAACGCGAACCGCAGGACACACTCTCTCTCTCTCTCTCTCTCTCTCTCTGTACACAAGGGAGGGAAAAAGAAAAGCGCAGGAAGATTCAGCAGGGCAGACGTTCGAAGATAAAAGTGACCTTATAATCGGCTGAAAATGTGGATCGCCAAACCCGCGTGGCGGACGATACGTGGCGCGAAAACGAGAGTCCGCACGCGCACTTCCGTGCGGGCGGTAAAAAGTGTATTCGCATTATGCAGGTGCATAAGAACGCGGTTATCCGCGGCTACAAAAGAAAATGGCACGTGAGTGAGCGTCGTTTCTTCTGCCATCGGCTCGGATCGGCTCGGATCGGCCTTTTGCTTCATAATGCATACGTAGCTCGCGTTCGCGATGATCGGCGGATGATCGCGACTCGATGCAGATTCGCACAAGTGCACGATCCAATCTCGCGTGTACAATTGCCGGTGTGACTCTCCATCTGCACTGACTGGTGCAACTCTCTCCGTTATCAGAAAGTGATGAATACGATTTATACGATAGATATGTGTTACGGACGATTATGCACTCTCGAGAAATTAGTTCGCCGTAATGTCGCCGATTAAATCAATTCTGCCTCTTTGCGCGTATCTCCGCAGAATTACGCACGTTAGAAACTCGATGGGTCGTACGGGCCGTGTAAATCGCCTGTGTCGAAAATTGCTCGCGTGTGTCTCTGACGACAGACAGAGAGTGAGGGGGAGGGGGGAGGAGGGGGGGGGGAGAATCGTTAACCAAATTGCGAGGATAAAGCTGGCGCTGGCCGTGAACGCTGCCGGGATGGAAAGAAATACACTTCCTCGTAGTTTCTCTCATTCGCGAACTGCTCCGAAAGTCGAGTTCTCTTAATAACCGCGCTTTGTGGGTGTGTGAATAATTAAATATCAATGAGGTAGCAGAAGCAGAAAGGTGTCTTTAAAGACGTAATTACTTGAAGTCGCAATTATCGCGATGGGTTGTCAGGTTGCGAACGTTTCCCGTGGTCTTTGGAGAAAGTACGGCCGATTATGTTAGCCTTGCATCTCGGCCATCGTGCTACTTAAGAGAAGAAGTCAGCCGATGGTTTCTTGCCGACATTGACAGACGGTGCGCGCTTGTACGCTCTCATCACTTTGTCTCTTTTGATGTCTCCGTAGAAAACGCAACGATACCTCATTGGAATTGATTATCGTTTATTAGCATTTTAGTAGAAGAAAAAACTCGCCGAGATATCCTGGATAAATCCAGTGGATACGTGCATTTCTGTCGATGAAACAGAGAATTGAAATTATAAGGAAGAGAGAAACGTCAAAGGTCTATTACAATTGTTTGCATTATTTGCCAACGCGGCGACGATGTAGAAGCGATACAGCCAAAAGGAGGAAACGTCTTCCTAGCATGAATAATAGTTTCTTTTGCAACGGACGCGCATTACGAAATGAGCGCTCAAACGAATTTGGCGCGCTTCGCAGCAATTTCCACTTTTGTGTGTCACGGAAAGAGCAGCACCTGGCTGCTGATTTGAACAATCGCGACCGATCAAGTAGATAGTCGCGGCGATCGAGACGTCATCTTGCGAAATTACGCATGTATTACGCGCGCTTCCTTTTTCACGATCACGCGAGTGGCGAAAGACATACACACACACACACACACACACACACACACGGTAGCTCCGCGTGCCGAAAGCGATGATTAATCAAGACCCGCTTAAATGGGCAAAATTAGCATCCCAAAAGGGATCTCACCCGCTTATTTTTCGCAACTCGCTTTCACGCAACACCCCGCTTACAATTGACGTAATTACTCACTCGTACGCGCCTCTTTAATCCCCAGAATGTGTAAACGTAGCTTTACATAATTTTCACATACGTTAAGACCTCCGCGGCTTAGGCGAGCAGCGCGCGGTGCTTCTCACGCGGTGCCTCCGATATGGTCGCTACACAATAACGAGCGGCATGGGTGATCTCGGCGCGCGCGCGCGCGCGCGCGCGCTGCGAAACTATTCTTAAGCGCACGGCGAACTAATTAGAGCACGCGTAGCACGACGTTTTCAGATGCCCGCTCGAGAACGGCTCCGTGTGTTTGAAGGGTGCAATTATTTTCGCTTCATTTTCGGCGATAACGTTTACACACAAAGAAACGGATAATAATCTTGCAATATTGTATCGCCGCCCCGCCAGCGATCCGAATCCGAAGAAACCGACGCGACGCAACGACGCGACGAGACGACTCGACGCGAGCGCAAAGTTGCGAGAGTAACGTTTCGTTCGATATTAAACAAATGCGCAGCAGCAAATCGGTAACGGTTCGATTTGTATGCATCGCGATGCTCGTTGCATTAAATCCTTAACGTTCTCTCACTCCATGCGCATATCTACATATTCAGTATTTAAATGCGAGAGGCAGAAGCTATGCAAAAATCATGAACAATATTTATGTGACGTTGCGGCGGTTTTATGGTGCAAACGAAATAACACAGTATTTTATGGTAATTTGTAATTGGCAACGATTAAAGTCCGCCCGGCATCTTCCGCAAGAGCGTAAGGCATGATTGTCGTCTTCGTACAAATTAACATTCTGCCGCGAAACTGCATCGGAGTCGCAGACGCGACATTCGGCACGGGGGAGATCGGGCAGAAAAATCGAAATTAATCGCGGACGCCGCGCCGCGCCGCGCCGCGAGGAGAAGGCACTTTCTCCGATTGTAGCCGTACCGTTCTGCTTTTAGATGCTATTCGTGCTGTTCTGCGTCCTGCTGATTGGACACCACGTACAGGCGGTAGTCAACAAAGTTGCGACCTCGCAGGTACCGTTAGCGAAGGAAGAAGAGAAACCTGGCAAGGCCAAAGCCGACGATAGAATAAGCAATACTTTCGCTTCTCCGTCCGAGGACTACGGGCTGCCATCGGGGCCCAGCTTCAACGGCCCGGCGCCAGTGTACGGGCCTCCGGAATTGGTCGGTAACCTCGGAGCGACGGCCGTTTATCCGCCGCCACCGGCGGAATTGCCGCCGCCTGTGTTCGGACTGCCGGCCGTCTCGTATGGTCTGCCGCCGCCGCCGCCGCCGCCGCCGCCGCCGCTGCCGCCGCCTCTGCGGAGTATCAAGCCGCAATATGGGCCGGCGCTGAAGCAAAGTTTCGCTTCGCTATCGACTTCCCTCTTTCCGAAGCCTAGCTACGGCCCGCCGAAACTTCATTACGGACCGCCGAAGCAACACTTTACGCCGCCGTCGGCTTCGTTCCCGCCGTTCAGATTGCCGAAACCTCAGTACGTTCCACCATTGAAGTTGCACGGCACATCGAGTCAGCAATATATAGCGCCGTCAGCCACGAGTCAGCACGGGCCGTCCAAGCCGGGCCACGGGCCACCTATCCCTATATCGCTCGAGACTTACGGTCCACCGCCTCCGAAATTAGCTATTCAGTTTAATCCTCTGCCCAATGACGAGTACGGTCCGCCGCCGCCGCCCGCGCCCGCGCCGCAACCGCAATACGGTCCACCGGCCGGTGATTTATACGAACCTCCGCCGCCGGTACCTCCGCCAGGAGTTCCAGCACCACCCACACCTCCTGACATAAAGTACGATGGATGGCAGCCCATCGCAGGATTGGCCAGCTCCCCTAATCAAAGTGGCCCACCGACAGACACGTACGGGGGTCCACCCATCGAGACGAAGCACAATCACGCGGAGAGCTCGTCTTCCCCCGCCGGCACGCACTTGTCCCACGCGTCCTTGAGCGTGCCGAGCAACTTGAACGTGCCGAGCGACTCTTACGGCGTGCCGATACACAACCCCGAGGCTCAGGATCTCAAGACGTCCGTGCACCAGTCCTCGGCTTCCTCGGAGAGCAACGGGCTACCGCCGCCGCCGTTGCCGCAGCAAGAACCTCTGCACAACAATCAGGGCCCGGGGGCCGCTACTTCGGCTGGCCATTCCGATCACCAGGCCGGTCTTCACCAGCAGCAACAGCCGACGGCAGGCCTGCGGTACGGCACGCCGAACATCGAGCCCTTGTCCATCGTCAAGACCGTGGGTTTCGAATTGTTACCCACAGGCGGCGCTGCGAATGCGAACCTCCAGGGTTTATCATTGTCAGCTGGCACTTCCGACGTCTCATCGTTCAATCATATCTCGAGCTCGGTTAACGCCAATTCCGCTTCGCTTCACACCGCTCTGGAACTGACGCCGGCCGATGGCGGATCTCACGCTGTTGCTCCGGCCAGCGTCGGGGGCGATACCACCCCCCATCACGGCTTCCAGCAGCAGAATGCCGGGCTTGACCTGTCCCTGCAGCAGCTGCCGCCGTCGAGCGATTACGGTGCGCCGTTCAACAGCTTCGGGACAGTGCTCGGCGGAGTGTCGCCGGGCGCGCCCTTGCTGTCGCCCCCGCCTTTCGATTCTTACGGTGCGCCGCCTCTGTCGTCGTATTCAGCCAACGGACCGTATCCCATCGCGCCAGGTGGACGGGGCTCACCACCTGTGTTCTCGTCGTTCGGGCTGTTTGGGGCTTCTCTTCATAAACCAAATCTCCACCACAAGATCCACGCTTCGTTCAAGCCGCCGCCCGCTCCGCCCGGTTCCCTGATACCGCCGCGAACTCGGGATCCCATCAAGTTCCGGGAGCCCATCCCGACGGGGCTGCTGTCGAACATCAATCGATACGTGCCGCCGTTTGCGAAGCAGAAACTGCACGGGCCGTCGTTCGGACAGCAGTTGCCGAGCTATCACGCGCCGGTACCTTTCCGTTACGCAGCGGGCTCGGCTAATTCGTTCTCCGGACCCTTGTCGTCGTCGGGTATCTCGCACGTCGGATACAACTTGAACTCACCGATTGCCGCGCCGCACGTGCAATACGGGACGCCATTGTCCTTTACTGACTTCAACACCCCGACGCCCCACTTGACGTACGGAGCGCCGAATTTCGGTCCACCCACCTCTTACGTCTCGGCGTTCTCCGGCTTCGGCCAGAATCTCTACAGCGGCATCGGCAACGCGCTGACCACGACGTACGGCACCCCTATAGTGAACTCGGCCTTATCAATCAGCGGCGGTCACGACTGCAATTCCTTGCACCCGCTCTTCCCCTCCAACGGGGGAGGACTGTCCAACGCGGGTGGAGGGGCGCCTTTAAGCGGTAGTTTACTCTCGAGCGGAGGATTGCATTCCAACGGAGAGGCGCCCTTAAGCGGAGGCTTATCTTCGGGCGGCGAAGTGCCCTCGAGCGAGGAGCTATCGCTGACTGCTGGTGGATTACGTGCTGCGCACGTGGCTGCACATTCTAGCGGCCAGCTGCAACTCGGTTTTGAAAGCTTAGCGAATTCCGCCGGGCATGTGAACGAAGCTCCCGGCCCCCCGGTCTTCAGCAACTCGCTGCCTACGACGACGGGCTTCGCCCGTCAAAGTTCCAGCGCACCTGCTGGCACGTTCGACCTCGCTGACCAGCCGAGTCCCATCTTCAACGGCGACTCGCTGCCTACGAAACCGTTCGATGACTTCCTGGGAGGACCATCGGTCAACACCTTGGATCTGCAGCACAACGAGCAGCAGAAGATCAATCTGAAGGACAGCTACGGCAACCCCGTGGGGGTAACTTACGACGCGGCCAACGAAGCGAGCGACTCCAAGCTCGTCCACGCGACCACCCCGGACGTCTCCAACGAGCTCCCCGCGCACCCCTCTAGTCAGACCCACAATATTTACCCCCTAGCGGCGTCGTTCCAACAAAATCCAGGAATATCGGCCGAGGCGTTCACCGCGAGCTTGACCGCGCAAGGCTTCGGTCAACAAAAGAGTCTAGGCTTGAACGAGGTGGACGCCAATGAATTCCTAAAGTCGAGCGAGGGCAGCGAGCTGCTGTCTGTGGCGCAGCGATTGACTGCCAATAATGCCGAAGATTTCGAGGTTCACGGCTCCAAAGGCACCTACACGCTGCAGATACAGCCCGCGGACGGAGGATTGGGCACCGAAAACTCGGACGGCAGCATCAGGCACGATCAGGTGTTGTCCAACGGACTGCTGCAGGACATAATAGCCGCCATAGAGCGACCGGAGAACGGTCCCATTCAGCTGCAAGGCCTACCGGAGTCTCAGCCGTTGCAAAAGATCTTCGACAATCTGCCGGAAGGGACTAGTGTGAGAGGTCACTTCGTCGGCCGAGAGCGAAGCGACCAAGCAGGCGTTGTCACCAGCGACAAGGACAAGTACTCGAAGATTCAGCCAGTGGCTTTGTTCTACGATACTAAGTACGAAGAAACGAAAAAAGAGGTCAGGTCGGTGTCGAAAAGCGAGACACCAGTCGCCGAAGAGAGCGAACAGAGCAAAAGCAAAGCTCGATCCTCGTAATTTAGATCGTGAGAGTGCCTTCATGAGATATTTAATAGTATTTTGCAATACGATGCGTCCCCCGATCGCCCGGATGAGTGCACCTCCTCGCGGAGAGTTTTCGACTTTCGTCCCCGACGGGGATATCGCCGCTAACGCGATGCCATTTACTTTCTTTGCTTGCGGTCGATCGACAAAGAATCCCACGGTAAACGTCCTCTGGTCCGCGGAATTCGCGACGTCGCAGATACTTTTTTGCATATCGCTACTCGGAGCGTTGCGGGTCCCTCGGTGACTTCCTCCTTCGAATCGCAAGGACGACTGATCATATTTCCGTACGCCTCAGTGGATGAGGCGATTTTTATCTCGATAGAAGTCGCAACGCACGCGCGCGCGCGCGCGCGCATGGAAGGATGAACGGGATGCGTTAGAAAGCAATGTTTTGTAACTCAACGTTCCAACTTTCCGGCAACTTGTTTTATCGTACGAATTCCAAAAGTCGTTCCGGCCGGCGTAAATGTTTCCCCGTGTACTTTCCGGTAACACGCTTCGGAAACACCTACACGAAAGTATGATCGACTGGAAGCTCGAATTAGAAGGCGCGAGCCGCGCGCGCGAGTGGAAAACGAAAGTTTATGTAATCCTTTTTCTCTTATTGCCGACGAGCGGGCGAAAGTGATAATTACTTGCTGTTGACCGGTGTATCGATAACAGGTTATTAGACGAAGCGCTCGCTCAAGAAGAGAGAACTTTTCATCTCTCTGTCTCTCTCTCTCTCTCTCTCTCTCTTTCTCTCTCTCTCTCTCTCTCTCTCTCTCTCTCTCTCTCTCTCTCTCGGTGGGGGATTAGTACTCGAGCGCGATTGTAGGAAGAGAGACGCGAGCCCTCGGTGCTCTCGGTGCTCTTTTATCGCGCGGCCAGGCTTCACGCTCGTGAATGCCGACTCGCCCGTTATCGGCTCGTACGTTTACCGGCACTCGACCAAGGGACGCAGGACGAATCACTCGAATTCACCCGATGTCCTCGTGTCAGCGGCTTATCCCACTACCCATCGTCGTCCGTCGAAATCTCGTCGGCTCTCGACACTTCTTTCCCCGAGAGAGAGAGAGAGAGAGAGAGAGAGAGAGAGAGAGGGGGGAGAAAGAGAGAGAGAGAGAGAGAGAGAGAGAGAGGGAGGAGAGATCGCTGTGTGCTAATTACTCGACGCCACTCGAGATTCCTGTCGGACCAACGGTGATCGCGCGCCGGCGATTACTCTTAGTCCGATCCGGATGAAAGTGGCAGGTCCGGTATTTTAGCCGCTGTCGCGTGATGACGCGGAGACGTTAAACCGGTACGAGACATCATGCGCGTTTATTAATACTCATGTAGGTCAATAGGTTACGGCACTGCTCTCGCAGGAGTGTACAGCTAGCGACGCGGCGTAAAGCCGCGTAAAGTCGCTCGGGTCGTTTGCCGACCGGTGGGATCGTGATCGACGTCCTCGTATCTTTCGCGGTTTCAAGCTTCGCCGAGGTGAAAGTTCAAAGCCTCGTTTAACGACCCGGCGGGACAGTCTCCGGCTTCTATGAGAATCTCGTTTTGAGTGAAACGTATCGCGAGTGCCTCTCTCTCTCTCTCTCTCTCTCTCTCTCTCTCTCTCTCTCTCTACCTATCTATCTATCTCTACTCCACTCTGTCTCTCTGTGCGGGCGTTCGGGCGCATCGTGCCTCAATTTCGCGTGTCTCTGTGACAGATAATCGGTGGATGCGGATACGTCTAGTCCGCTGCTTACACGCGCGCGCAAAAGGGGAAAAGAAAAGGAAAGAAAGGAAAGAGGAGTACAGGCCGCGTGTGCGTGCTTACGGGGGTTGCGCGCGGCGGAAATACAGAGCACCCTTGAAACACGTCGATACTATCGGCCACGGGAGAGAACGCGAGCGACGAGCCATTACTTCCTTCCGGCGCACGTATTAACGACTCTTACACGCGAGCAGTAGCCGCGCGCGCGGTATAGGGTAAGTCGAAAATGAGTGTGTGTCGTGAAAGCGCGCCGTTAAAAATCCCGAGTGTGGCATAATCTTAAAGTTCTTGCATTTTTATGGTTTCGTCTGGCAAACGGTTATGCATAACTCGGTGCACTATTGCAGATACGTAAAATAAGTAGAGCGTATACGTTTAAGAGACGCTCATTGTTACGAAGTACGCAGCGACGATACTCTGCCAAGCCATAAAGCGCATCCACTCGCTCCTAACCCATATCCACCTTCTTCTTCTTCTTTTTCTTCTTGCTCTTCTTCATCTTCTTCTTCTTCTTCTTCTTCTTCTTCTTCTTCTTCTTCTAGGGTCTTAATTTATTATTTTGTACGCGCGGCTCTACGCGCGGGAAGCGTATCCGGCTTATATCCGACGAGCAATCGATGCAATCACTCGCCGGATATAACGAACTTATTAGCTTAGTATGTACTTTTGATATATCTACGCTCCGCATGTAAATATATCGACATTTTGTAAATAGAGCTCAATTTTTATTTCTCCTCCATCTTTCCTCTGCCCTCAGTCTTGTGTGTTGTCCTTGTAACGTTCCCTCCATTTAATTTATCGCGATCATTACCGCTCGCGGACACACCGCGAATGTGACAATTAAAACACTGCAATTGCGATACTTTCACCAATGTGCGTTATTCTTCCTCCGAGGCGTTACACGCGCCGTTGTCTCTCCGCTTTGTTCTCTCTATTTTCTATTTACAACCGCGACGCGCAACGCCGCGGCCGACAGTAAATATTGACGTTAAGAGTGCGGGATATTACGGGAACACGTTGTGTTTTCGAGTCCATTTGCAGAGATTGGCCCGCCGTAAGGTGGATTACAAGTTTGCACATCCGAAAGTGTTTGTACCTCTCTCGTGAAAGTACCGGGCTACATCGGCGGTCGCCTAAATACCGCGAATTCTGGCACGACGGAGAAACGGAAACGTATGAGGGAATTAGGTATCCGCCGCTAAGTAGAATTACGGTTATGTAAATGAAACGCTATCGCTTCGCCTTCGGTTAAGACGGTTAGCACCTCCAGTTCCTCGTGCTGGGATCGTTACTCGCAGATTTTCCGCGCGAGTCCATTCTCGCCGGCCGGTATCCCGTTGGATTTCTTTCCCCGCCGCTCGCGCCGCGTCGTTCCGTGCGTGCGTTCGCTTCATTTTCTCGCTTTCTGCCGCTCGCGCGTGCTTCGCATCACGCAGACAATACGATCACAAGGTTTCTTTTGTAACTTACAGCTGAAGCTATGAGAATATTCACACGTTCGCAGCGCGCCGCAGAGGCGAGCTTGCCCGCGCTGAATCGCCCGGCGAGTGGCGTCGGCCAAGTACCAATCGGCTCGACAATCGCGCCGGGTTGTCGTGTCGATAATTGAATCGAATTGAACAAATGGGCGCGTCAATGTCGAACGAGCATAACACGACGATCACTCGCGATAAAATAATCTTGTTCCCCGTCGAAAAGTTTAGACAGGATAGGATAGGAAGGTATATATTGGACAACAAACATTTGTCGTAATCGTAGGGCTGATGCTTCCTTTGTGCGATTCGTTAAAATTCACCAAACATGCACAAGACATTGCAACGTCGTCGTCGGCTGCGTCAGGGAGAAAAGGTTGATGCCTACAAAGACGAAGTGAATTTCAGCGGCGCTCGGGCGATCTGGAAGGCGCGTAACGACTTCCTCTTTTCGTGTAGTTTTAATCGCGCGTCGTATCGCGTGGAGTGTTGCCGGTTCGCCGAGACGAGCTGGTGACGAGGAGGGATTGGTAGGGATCTCGAAGGAAGGTTTCAAGGGTTAGCCAGGGGGAACGTATGCATTTTTCGCGGAGCTCGGAAGTGCTTTATTTCCATACTGAGGTCGTATCCGTACACACCGACAGTCATACTGATCTCAGGAGGCACGTTGTTGCCTCATGGGCGATATATACGGAATATAAGGCAAGCCGACAGGCGGAGTCTCGGATGTATCGTTGCCGGTATGCCCGGCGTAGACCCTTCGCCGAAGGCAAAATTGTCTTTCCTGTGAATAGCAAATAGTTGCTGAAAGCGAGATCTCCGAAGGAGAAAATCCTCCCTTGAGATTATAGGGGACGGCTGGAAGATAACGATACTTAAATCGCTCCGATGTTCTAAGGACGTCTCGCGTCCAACCTCTCCTCTCCCTCTCTCTCTCTCTCTCTCTCTCGGCTTTTTGCCCGACACACTAACGATCTATTTTGTATGGGCCAGCCGAACTAACGGCTGCATTCGCTCGTTTATCCTTCGCGGTCTCGCGGCACTCCGCGTGCGCGCGGTCGCGATTTCAAACGGTAACGTAATGTGTAATTACAGCCTCCTGATTAAGGTCTTTCTCACTCGTTATGCTTTTTTCTTCCGCACCGCCCGCCATCGCGATAAAGTGGGTCTCCAGCACGGTACATTTTTTGTGCGCACGCGAGAATACGTTTCACGAATACGGTAATGCGACCGATACCGTTGCGTCATTGTTTAAGTGATCCTTGCTTCATTCATACCTCGGGTTTCGAATCCTTCATTCACTGTCTGATCAACTTTGAGTCTCGATTCCTAGACTTTTCTTCCTTCGTCTAACTTTGTTCCGCGCGCGCGCGCGCGCGCGTGTTTCATTTTTGAATATTTTATACCGCTACTCTCTAAACATCAAATAAGGCGCCGTCGGCCCTTTCCATCGCAAAGATTTAAATCCTAAAAGTTTCTACATTTTCAATAGCTTATAATTCCAAGAACATCGATGCTTTGAAACTTTTGATTGAACTCTGAAACTTCGATTGGCGCTTTGAAAGTTTCGGCGAGGGAAAAATTATTCCAAATTGATCCGAGCGCGATCCGTGCGGGTGCGGAAGAAATTTAACAGTTAACAGACATTGTCGTATGACATTGTGTTCTGCAATCGCTATATCAATCCAATTCTCAATCTGTCTCGGCAACGTCGTCGTACGAATTCTCGTTTCTTTCGAGCCACCAAGACCTATAGCGGTGCTTAATTTCACTGGGGAGAGCGGAACCGGCGGGCACATATATAAAGCCCAGGCGAAACGCGACTGTTCTTATTTATATTGCACTTACAGTCTCATATGACCCATATCTCGTCGAAGGAGAGCGCGGCAGATTCATAGCGAGCGGAGAAAGGTGACAGACGATGTATATCGAAAGAATTTCGACGATCTCGTGGAAGCGGCTTGACCTTGCCGAAAGAAATTTCTTTCGTGTAGGAAAAGGAAAGTATAACGGGAGAAAATGCCTGAGATAACCTGCTTTATGGAATGAAAGAGGCAAAAGTTCTCGACATTTACGAGCGTGTGTCCACGACGATCTCGTATTAAATCCCGATTTCATACCGCTCCGATTGGCGATATTAACATACGTATTTCTCGCCGGAGTCTTGGCGCGATAAGCGATCTGTGCACGACCTACAATGTTGATTAAAAGATCAAATGAGATACTTTGTTTTCAGACGCTCGCGAAGCTGATTCTACTTGCAGATCGGTATTATGATGAGCGCGCGTTACTTTTACCGGGGAACCAAGTCGCGGAGCGCGATCTATCGCGAAAGAAAAAGTCTCACCGATGATCGAGATAATCGAGGGATCGTCTGTGAGAGCCTGGCTGAATCAAGACACGCGCACGTGACAATGGACTTGGCGCGCTTTGTACTTTCGTCCATCAATCTTTTCTCAGCGATTGTCTCTCGACCGTCCGATCGCGCCGTCTACGTGCATCGAATGTCCGCGATCGCTCACGATTGCGAAATATTACGAGTATTTGCGGATATGACGAGTGACACCTTTTCTCACCATACCGCGTACGCGATCCTAATATGCGCGACTCCTAATTAGGCTCGCTCCGGATTAGCGACGCGCGATTTCGTCCGTATAATTAATTTATCGATGTATCAACCGGACAGCGTGCGCGAGACAGCGAAGAAGGATGAGTACGTGATTACGTACTTCATGCGGCATTGCTCGAAAGTCAACGATCATTTACACACCCACGCACGAGTCGATGGGTAAATGTCGAAGTTCTTCGCTAAGCTGAAGCACGTAATCGTCCTTTCGCGAAACATTAAACCTCCGTGTAATCGCTCTAACGCGTGAGATAAACCGTTATTACGACAAATAAGTTTCGAGCAAGTAACATTTAACTTCGCGACATCCTCCTGAGTCGTCGATCAGAATAGAAATGAGAAACGAGCGATTATATAAGACTGAAATTAAATTTTTATCCGAGGACTCTTCCGGCTCTTACACGCTTCGGTTACAAGATCGGACTTATAGAATTTATAGATGCGAGAAAATGTTCCCGGACAAAAGACGGGCGTGCGTTAATGTTGAACGGCCGAACGGTTGAAAGGAATAACAAGAAAATCTGCACGTCTCTGCAATCCGACCTCGCAATCTCTCGGACGAAACCGCGGCATGGATGCTGGAAGAAGACACACGCTGCATCGTAGCTAAGGAAGACTGCACAGGCAAGGTGGGTGCGAAGCAGACAATAAGAGAATAGAAACGGGAAGCGGAGAACGCGAGCGCGAGCGGTGAAGGGAAAGAGCGAGCGGAGCGGAAGAAAAAATAGAGCACGCTCGTAATCGAAATAGAGGGAGAGCAAAAAGAGGGGCGCGGGGGCGACGGTGGCGGCGGCGGGTGGAAGAAGAAGTCTACGAGGAATTCCATAAAAATCGGTGAAATATGCATAGTACCGCGGAACGTGGAGAAGCGACGCGACGTCGTCGAGCGTCTCCGGGGAAACCGGAATCTCGGCACGGGAAGAAGGAGAAGGAACGAGGAGGAAACCCCGCCGGGGGAGGAACGCGCGCGCGGCAGTCCAGAAAACGAAGAGAGAGAAAGAGAAGGAGGGGGGAGAGGCGTAAGAATGAGGGTGGTGTAGGCGGCCGGTGGGTGCCTCGAGGAAGAGGAGGAGAGGAGGTGGCGAGGGAACAGATAAAGGAAAGGGAGGTTAGAGAGCGAACATTTGGAACGTCTTCCCGAACGAAATCTAATTTCGGTCCCACGGCGAAACTAAGCTATTTTCCCCGCAATATGCACGCACGCGAAGGGTGCGCGCGCGCGCGCGCGCGCGCAAGTTTGCGCCGGCGTTTTTCAGCCTCTTACCCGGCCGAAGCCGGCAGTCGGGCCGCTCTTCACGAGGAGGGATCCCTCAACGCTCCTGTCGCGTCCGGTGCGAGAGAACGCGTATTCGAAATGGCTGATAAAATTTCCGTCGTCGTAACCCGCCGCTCGCAGGCAGCCGAGGCTCCTCGTAATTTCGCTGATGGCCGTGTTAGCCTTAGCAGCTGGAAAACGATCTTTCATTTCGGTATGCTCGGTCGTTTGTTCCCGCCGTTGTGCGCGCACGTATACGCGCGCGCGTCACCCGTTCCTGAATCGTTCGCAGGCTTTATGCCCCCTGCTGGTGCATAGCGTATAGCGCGCGTTAAGAGCCATTCATTATTTCCGATGGTTTGTCCTTTTGACATTTGCGCTCATCAGGAGGTGATTGTTGCACTTTTGCGCGATTTCAACGATGCGCGGCTCATCGATGATTGTCGCTGAAATTCATTTCCACGGACACGGAAGAGCGCTGGTGTGTACACTGTCTGTCCGCCGAATATTTACAGCGCGCGGTTGCAAACGTATTGATGTTACATCTCCCGTTTCAAAGTACGTACATTTTTCGCGCGTCAGCCGACTTGCGCCCCGTTGTTAAAGCAGTTCGGTCTGGGCAGAATTGCTACGGACGGGTTAGCTTTTACACCTTTATGCGGAATTTCTTTTGTTGACTGTCCGCTGGATGGAGGGTCCCCGGAGGGCGTCGCCGCAACGTTTTACACTCCGCGTGACGTTGATCCCCTCTATAATTCGCGCCAAGGCCGGGATGATGATACGGAAGCAACCAGGCTCGAGACGATTTCGAGTGGTAGAAAAGCTTTGTGCGAATCCGGCGAGAGGGAAAGAGGAAAAGCATCACGCGCTAATGGCTGATCTCGCGATGTGCAATTAAAGGGGGATCATTCCGCTAGAATTGCTTGTTCGTTTGCACTGCCTCCTCCTAACAGAGCGAGAGCGGGAATGCTCGCTTAATCAGTCACACTCGTTCATCAGTAAATTACACACTAACGCCCTCGTTAAGTGTGAGGTTTCTATATTAGCATCCGTTAATTAATCATGCAACGTGATTTCTCCT